GAGCCTGGAGCCTGTTTCAGCCTGTGGCTCCCTCTCTCTCTGACCCTCCCCTGCTCACGCTGTCTCTCTCTCTCTCTCTCTCTCCTAGAAATTAAAAAAAAAAAAAAATACAAAGCAGCCTTGTTAAAAAAAATAAATAAAATAAAATAAAAACATTAAAAAACTTAATGAAAAAACATAAAATGAACTGGATGAATTTAAGTTTAAATGGATCAACTTAACAGTATCTGAGTCTCAAAAATAACTAATTTTTTTAAAGTAACATAAGACAGGAAATAAAACAGAGTGTCAAGAGCAGGGCTTGGTTGGTGCTCCTGGGTGGCTCAGTCGGTTAAGCATCCGACTTCGGCTCAGGTCATGATCTCACGGTTCGTGGGTTTGAGCCCCATGTCAGGCTCTGTGCTGACAGCTAGCTCAGAGCCTGGAGCCTATTTCAGATTCTGTGTCTCCCTCTCTCTCTGACCCTCCCCTGCTCACGCTATCTCTAAGAAATAAATAAAACATTAAAAAGAAATTTAAAAAAAAAGAGCAGAGCTTGGCATTGTGGGGATGAACACTGGGTGTTATATGGAAACCAACTTGACAATAAACTATTAAAAGAAAAAAAAAGAAAATAAAAAAGAGCAGGGCTTGGCAAACTATGGTACACTGCCAGTTTTTGTAAATAAAACTTCATTTGAGAACAGCCACTAAGCATCCTCTATGACCGCTTTAGAACAACAACAGCAGAGCTGAGAGACCGTACGGCCAGCAAAGTCTAAAATGATTACCATCTGCTCCAGCACAGGAAATGTCTGCTAAGCCCTGGCCTAAAGAGTGGACTTGGCGACCAGACTGGAACTCAGACTCTGGCTGTGCTATATACAAACGACATGTCTTCCCCCTGCGTGTGTGTGTGTGTGTGTGTTCATGCTCTGTGCCTCGGTCTCAACATCTGGACATGCAATGAGTGAGAACACGTGGAGTGTGGCCCCAGCATGGCCAAGCTTGGTCATTTTCTCCCAACATCAGTGAGTGACCCTGCAGAGGAGCTCCTGGCACATCACTGCACAAACCCCTTCCCCAGCTCCCTCTGCTTTAAGACCAAGTGCAAACCCCATGCCTGACATACATCCTTTCTATCCTGCACCCCCGCTCCACCACCCGGCCTCAGGTATACCTTGTGTCCTCTGGAACAAGATGGACTTCCAGGCTGGGCAAACACTACACTCTCATGGCTCGGTCAAACATCACATCTCTAAGAAACTGTCGTGACTTCTGTCCCCCACACCCAGCCTCCAACCTTCCCTGGGGTCAGCTTCCCCAGCTCTGAGGCCCTTTCATTCTTGCAACCAACGTGATGCGAAGCAGCACCTGCTAAAATGCATGCAGCTCCTCTCCCGCACCCCCCAGCCTGAGCTGCCGAGGTCAGAAGCACCTGGCAGAACGCCCAGTAGCCACTGACAACTGCTACAGGCTACCCAGCACTAACCCCATACATACTTTCTACCAAATCCTTGCAACCCCCCGATAAACACCACAGAGCAGACAACATCACAGATAAACATCACAGATAAACATCACAGAGCTGACAACATTTCAGAGAAGCGAGGCAGCTTAGCTGATAAACGAATAGACAGAACGAAGGGAACTGCCAGATGCTCTACAACAGTGATTTCGCCCTCAGGGGGCATATGGCAATGGCTGGAGATACTTTTAGTTATGAAACTTCAGGGGGGTTCTCCTCCACTATGGTGGGTGGAGGCCAGAGATGCTCCTGAACTTCCTACTACCTACTGGACAGCCCCTACCACAAATAATTATCTAGCCCCAAGTGTGGATACTACCTAGGCTGGGAAATTCCAATCTAGAGAATTTTTTTTTTTAGGCAGAAGTAGCTGGGATGGTCAGGGAAGAATCCAAAGATAAGGTAAGCCAAAGACTAGGCTTAGGTTTTAGGAGATCCCTCAGTTCGAAAGGTATCTATTGCCTGACTCATTTTTTTCCAACAGTAATCTTAACTTATAGATTTCCCTTTGCTGCATTACCAAAGGGTCAAGCTGCAGCCAAGACAGCCCATCTAACACCAAGAATAGATTTTGTAAGAATTCTAGAACAATCCACCATCAGACTCCAGTGAAACTAAGTGAAGCAAAGGCCAGCATAGAGATGTTTCCCGGTGTGCACGCATGCATACACACATACACGTGCACGCCCCACAGTCTGGACCCGGAAGCCAACCCCAGCCCCCCAAGCCAGGCAAGGAGAATGCTGCCACTGTTTAGATCGTACTGACCCAGCAGGCCTCTCCCACTATCCCTCAGCTGCTGAGATGCCAGCTGCCTGCTTCCCGAAGACGCGCTTTACCCAGCATGACCCTGAGCACGGGCACAGAGGTGGCCCCAGGTAATTCCAAAGCTCTCATCTCAGAGGCATTGCCGCAGACAACATGGTGTGCCAGGCATGGCCGTGGCCCTGCTGCCCCTGAGCGCCTGGGGGCCGCTCAGAGCGATCCTGACCTCTTCGGTGTCTGCCCAGCCTCAGCCTTGCCATTCTGGCTGGGACAGCCCTCCATGGGGAACAGCAGGGCCAGATGCAAGGGGACAGAGATGTGGGGGCAGAGCCTCACCTTCTGAGTCCAGAGCCTGGATCTTCAGTTCCAGGGGCGAGTCCTCCAGGTACAGCTCACGGGTGGTGGAGACAATCTGAATGCCATGGATGAGGTCAACGATGGCATCACAGCGCAGGACCTGACCCGTGGCTGAAGGGACAAGGACGCACAGGTCAGCATGAGATGGGGCCAGGAGAACCACGTTAATCCTCAGAAGCCAAGTCGCTGACCAGTACGCGGGCTTTTGAAAGTTAGCAGGGGCCTGTGCAGAAAAAGGGCTTGGAGACATTTCCTTCGCCCATCTCCTACTCCCCCAGCGTGAGCACCAGCATTTAAAGCTGTGTGCGGAAAAACCCCTCTGAGAAAATCCAGCTTTGTTCAGGGTGTGACCAGTAAGTTCAATGACCGGGATGCATTATGAGGAGTTAGCATCCAGAAAGAATGCTGTCCTGAAAACCCGTCCCCACGCTGAGATCAGGAATTGTGCCTGGAGTTTGCTTGTTCGTTTACACTGGAGTTTTTACACAAAACTGTTAACTGTACTAGTGAATGAAAGGGTTACATGAGCAAGCACACAGATGTTTTTATGTGCTCCATAAATAAGATACACAAATGGCACTGCCTGCAGAATTCTCCAGTGTAACAGTAACAGCATGTGACACACAATCATTCTGACCATTCTCTAGGCACCAAATAAAATCACTTTGGGCGTTGTTAAGGATGCCTTGTTAGAAAGCAGTACATCAAACTCCTTACACATATTCATGTGTAAAACTAGGACTCTATCCTTGGGAGTAAATAACTTAAAAGAACCCGAAAGTGGGGTCCCTGGACGGCTCAGCTGGTTACGCGTCTGACTCTGATCTCAGCTCAGCTCTTGATCTAAGGGATTTAAGTTCAAGCCCTGCATTGGGCTCCATGCTGGGCGTGGAGCCTATTTTTAAAAAATTTTTCTAAAAATTGTTCTCTGTATAAATATTTATTTTTCTATAGAACACTGAAACAAATCTCTGAAAACAATCTAAATGTCCAATACAAGCGGATTCTTACAGGACAACCCCCTGTGGGAAGTGTTACTCAGCTATTAAAAATAACTCCACAAAAATGAAAAGTTTTCATATCACGTTAAATGGGAGAAAGCATGACAGAAAACAGCATTGTCTTCTAAGCGTCTTATAGCTATGCTATGGTAAATCAAGTAAAGGAGCAATAAAAGAATGGCAACAATTTTCTTCATTTTGATTCAACACCTGTTAGAGTTATCTGGGTAACAAATAATAATTTAGAAAGGAAAGCCAGCCTCTGTGAGGGGGAAAACAGGACAAGGGGCTGGCGGGAGGTACCAAGGTGGGCGCTGCCTGTGAGACCTCGTTCCCTGCCTGAGCATCCTCTGACCCAACATGAGAGAGAGAAAGCACTGCCATGGGCATGGGCAGGCCATGTGGCTGAGGTCTTGGTGGGGTGCTCCCCACCTCCTGTCCTAGCCACAGGGCCCGGGGCACTAAGCTCTTACTGATGTCCTCCGCGAAGATGATGCTGGTCAGGCGGGCGGGCTGGGACAGGCGGGCCTGCACCACAGCCTTCTGGGAGCACTGTTCATCTGCACCCAGTGGCTCTATGCTGGCCACCTCCGGCCGGGTGGACGACCTGTGGTAGGAAGATGAGACTTCACTCTCTGGGGTACACGGAGACGCCCAGCCGGGGCCAGACACCGAAGCTGCAGTTCCCCATGCGGGGCCCAGATGCCAACACAGAGTAGAAGTGGGCGATGTCCAGGGGTTTCACCCCCAGGGGAAAAATGGGGCCCGGCTGAAGCCCCTCTAATGCAAGCATGACTACCTGAAGGCATGGGACCTACAGGTGTGCACGTCACGCGCACAAGTACGCACGCTGAGCAAATCAAACAGGGTACCAAACACACAGGAACCACCTCCATGTTCAGTAGATGGTCGCCTTATAAGACTTCGCAATAGAACAAGAAATCATTATCAAGATGCTGGGGTGGCTCAGTCAGTTTAGCATGACTTCGACTCCGGTCATGATCTCATGGTTTGTGAGTTTGAGCCCTGCATCAGGCTCTGTGTTGACACCTCAGAGCCCACTTCAGATCCTCTGTCTCCTCCTCTCTGCCCCACCCACTCTATCTAGCTTTCTCTCTCTCTTTTTCTCTCTCTCTCAAAAACTAACACTAGAAGAGGTGCCTGGGTGGCTCAGTCGGTTAAGTGTCCAACTTTAGGTCATGATCTCACAGTTTGTGAGTTCAAGCCCCATGTCAGGCTCTGCACTGAGAGTTAGGAGCCTGGAGCCTGCTTCGGATTCTATGTCTCCTTCTCTCTGCCCCTCCCCTGCTCACTTTCTGTCTCTATATATCAAAAATAAATAAACATTAAAAAGTTAAAACAAATAAACATTAAAAATTAAGTAAACTTTTTTATTTAAAGTAAAGAATTCAGTCAGTGGGAAAACGGCCTATGGTGTCGGGTCAGGAAGAAACAGCGAGGATCTCTGCTGACCTCTGGGCCGGACCTGGCACAGAGCAAGCAACCAAGCGTTAGCCACTCCCAAACAGGTCCTACAAAACCTGGAGATCACCGGCTGCGAGGACAACGACAATCGTTCAGTCCCGGTGTGCACAGAGCCAGCATTCGGGGGCAGCTGAGGAGAGAGGAGGGTAGACACAAATAAACCAGTAAAACCTACGAGGTAACTCCCCATGGGGAGACAGGGCCCAACGACAGGATGAGGGGAAGGCGTGACTGGGGGAATGACCCAAACCAGCGCCACAGGTCTTCACCTCTGACACAGGATGATGACAGTTCTTGCGTAGAGGTCGGACGGGAATCGTCGGGGGTGAGCACAAGGGAAACTCCGCAGGAGGTTCTGGGTGGGCGCCTGACGTGACGCGGGAGATTCTGGGTGGGCGCGCGCCGTGACGCGGGAGGTTCTGGGTGGGCGCGTGCCCAGACGCGGGAGGTTCTGGGTGGGCGCGTGCCCAGACGCGGGAGGTTTTAGGTGGGCGCGCGCCGTGGCGCGGGGGGTTCTGGGTGAGCGCGTGCCCAGAAGCAGGAGGTTCTGGGTGGGCGCGCGCCGTGGCGCGGGGGGTTCTGGGTGAGCGCGTGCCGTGATGGCTCTCCGCACACAGGGTGCTCCAGGAAGACCACACAGAGACCTGCGTTTTCAGGCAAGGCCCGGAGGTGGGCAGCAGGCAGGAGGGCTCCAGGAACAGAAGGCCTAGCATGATCGGAGGCCTGGGCCTCCGGTGAGGAGACGGGAGGGGCGGGCCATTGCCAGTGCTCTTAACTACCACCCCAAGCCTCTAACAGCTTTGCTTGAGTATCTTTCAAAATGTGGAGGCTCATCATCAGGAAATGTAAATGAGAACCACAATGAGATTATCACCTCACGCCAGCTGGAATGGCTAGTATCAAAAACACAAGAGATCACAAGTGTGGGAAAAAGAACCTCTGTGGCAGAAGTGGTGAAATAGTCGAGAGGTCAGTGAACGTCACCGGTGTTAATTTCTTTCTTTTGACAAAAGTTCCCCGGTTGTGGAGCATGTGGACATTGGGGGAGCTGGGTGAAGGGTATAAAGAAATCTCTGTATTACCTTTGACACTACTCTGTAAATCTAAAATTATTCCACAATTTAAAATTAAAAGGACAAGAGAGGAATAGATAAACAGGCAAAGCGCAGGATTTTGGGGGCAGATATTATAATGATCACACAAGTCATTCTACATTTGTCAAAACCCACAGGATGTAGGACGCCAAGTAGGAACCGCCATGATGTAAACTATAGACTCTGGGAGACTACGATGTGTCCATTTAGCTCACGGAGTGTAATGAACGTTGATGGTGGGGAATGCGGCCAGAGGTGCTATATGGGAAATCTTGAACATTGGCTCAAGTGTTTTGTAAAGCTAAACCACTCTAAAAAATAAGGTCTATTCTTTTTAATTTTTTTTTTTTGATGTTTATTTTTGGGAGAGAGAGAGGGACAGAGCACGAGCCGGGGAGGGACAGAGAGAAAGGGAGACACAGAATCGGAAGCAGGCTCCAGGCTCTGAGCTGTCAGCACAGAGCCCGATGCAGGGCTCGAACCCACGAGCCGCGAGATCCAGGGCTCGAACCCACGAGCCGCGAGATCACAACCTGAGCCGAAGTCGGACGCCTAACCGACTGAGCCACCCAGGCGCCCCAAATAAGGTCTAAAAGCAGTGCATCATGTCCTGATTCTACCTTTGAGACACAGTGTGAAATGTCTTGTTTAATGGCCCCTAGTAGCCAGACACTAGGGCTCCCAGTCTGGGTGGAAAACGCCTCCCCACTCTGAGTCTCAGTCTCCTCAAGAATAAAATAGGGACAAGCCACTTCTTCCCTCGCTCCCTCACAGCAGCAGGTGAATCCGAGGCAGAGCCCCGGGTAATAAATCAACAGAGACAAGAACGGAGCTAGCCCAGGTTGAGCTGGAGAGGTCCAAAATCCTCTCCCTGTGTTCCCCGGCCCTTCCGCGGTCATACTGAGGCCCCTGCAGCCTCAGGGCCTGGCTAGAAACACAGACACTTCTCATTTTAGGCCTAGGGTGCCGTCGGCCTATGTTAAGTCCAGACACAGGCCTTAAAACAGTGGGTCCGAGAGAGATAATACAGCAGACCACATTCAGCATGTTCTAACTGCCTCGTTAGCAAAAGTAGCAGGAGAAACTGGTTCGACTATCGGTTCTTTTTTTTTTTTTTAATGTTTGTTTATTTTTTAGAGAGAGAAGGGCAGAGTACCAATGGGGGAGGGGCAGAAGGAGAGGGAGACACCGAATCCGAAACAGGCATCAGGCTCTGAGCTGTCAGCACAGAGCCCGACGTGGGGCTTGAACCCTCAAACTGTGAGATCATGACCTGAGCCGAGGTCGGATGCTTAAGTAACTGAGGCACCCTGGTGCCCCCAAAAGGGTGTTGTTTAGAGCAGTTTTAGGTTTGCACAACTGAGCCCTAAGTGTGGAATGTTCCATACTCTCTACCCCCACACATGCACGGCCCCTCCTGTTATCAACATGCCTGGACAGAAGGCACATTTGTGACAACTGGGCACCTACCCAGACACAGCACCATCACCCAGAGCCCATCGTTTGCGGGGCATTCACTCTTGGGGTCGTACAGTCATATAGGAGGACACGTATCCACCATCTGCAACGTCACACAGAGCAGTTCCACTGCCCTAAGAACACGGTGTTCGTCCCTGTGTTTTGAAGTTCCTATTAAAATGCCCTATTCAAGTAACAGGTGAATTAACCTTGATTATACCTATGATGCAACCAACGTGCCCCAGGCATCATCATTCCAACATGTGGACCAGCTGCCTCCCAAGCTCTCATTGTCAAAGTGAGTGGCGAAGGCACAGGACAGCCAGCTCAGAGGACTGGGCTGCAGGTGGAGAGCCAGGCGGGCACACACTGTTCCCAGCTCACCCCTGTCCCAGGGATATCTTCTAGTCCCTCCCAAGGACCGCCTCCAGAGTTAGTGCTGCTGAGAGTTCTTGCCCTCTTGAGAACGTTCCCGCTCTTCAGACTTAGGGCTGATACGAGGGCATTCAGTGCAGCCTCCAGATAAGACAGAGCAGTGCCCCAGCCTCTAGCCCTTGGAAGGAGGTGCCTACCCCACCTGCCCTGGGGCTGCAGTGACAAAGCTGTCCCAGGTCCCAGCCAGAAGCCCGTGCGATCCCACCCCGGGGAGGGCAGCCTCCAGCGCAGGCCTGTGGTGGGACTTGAGCCTTGCACCTGCTGGCCTCGGCTGAGCTGGGACAATGGGAGCTGGGCTCCCTCCTCAGGGAGCAGCTGGGAGGGCCAGGAAGCACCTCATGAGAAATGCTAAAGTGCCCAGAAACGTCAGCAGATGTGGCGGATGGCCAGGACTCGGATAGGCCTTGCCACATTCCCCACCTGCCCATTCCACCTGCGAATTCTCTTTCGGCTCTGGGGTGCTGTATGGGAAGCGCGAAGGGCTCATGCCAACCCCCTACAGGAGGATTTAAGACAGTCTTTCTGGTGGTGTTTCTGTTACCAGCAAAAGGGTTCTTTTCAATTATCTGACTCTTTCTGGGACATCCTGAGGCCTGCGTGTTTCAGCCTTACTTTTTTTTTTTTTTTTTTTTTAAGTTTATTTTGAGAGAGAGAGAGCACAAATAGGGGAGGGGCAGAAAGAAGAGGGCACCTAGTTAAGGGCCATTCTAGGGCCAGGACACATGTGACCAATGCCAAGTTTTGGTGTGTTTTGTTATTCGAGTCCCCTACTGGCTACACAGAAGTGCTGTCTCTGCATCTCACAGCTCTCTAGAATGGGCTCCTGAAACACTAGAGTTGCCCCGGAGACTCAGGCTGGCTCCTGCCAGGGCTGGGAACAGAAGAGTTGGCCACACATATGCAATTCTGGAATGTTTCTGCTTCTAGGATCTGGCAAGGGAAGACTCGCTTTTTCAGAGAGGGAGGACAGGGAATTCTGAAGACGCAGTGGCTAATCACACGGGGCCATGCAGACAGAGACAGGGAATGTGGAGGAGATAACAGAGGTGATGATGAGCAAGAGCACCTCACATCTGGCTAGTGCGGAGACACCCAGGGACCATGTTTTCATTAAAATATAAAAGTGATGGGCACATGGTTGGCTCAGTTGGAAGAGAGTGTAACTCTTGATCTCAGTGTCATGAGTTCAAGCCCCATGATGGGTGTAGAGATTACTTAAATAAAACTTAAAAATGTATGTGTGGGTGTGGGTGTGCATGCTAGGGGAATATGATAATTAATCTTATGTGTCAGCTTGACTGGGCCATGAGGTTAACTGGACAAACATGATTCTGGGTGTTTCTACAAGGGTACTTTTGGATGAGATTAACACTGAAACCAGTAGACTAAAGCAGATGGCCCTAATGTCGGTGGGCCTTACCCAATCAGTTGAAGGCTTGAAGAGCCCCAAAGGGCTGACCCTCCTCCAAGAAAAAAGAATTTCTCTTTGAATTGGGACATTGTCTGCTTCTTGCCTCCAGACTCAAACTGAAACATCAGCTATTCTTGGGCCTCCAGTCTGCCAGCCTTTGGATGGGAATTACATCATTGGCTTTCCTGGGTATCCAGCTTGCCAACTCACCCTGCAGATCTTGGGATTTGTGAGTCTCCATCATCACATGGGCCACTTCCATATAATAAATCCCTTTCCATATAATAAAATTATATACTACTGGTCCCGTTTCTCTAGAGGATCTTACTACCACAGGGAGGGGCTAGAAGGTAAGAAACAGAATTGTCGACCATATGTTAAACCCAGAGTTGAATACTTATATCCATCAGGTTACTTATTCCCCAGCATGCCTATCTGGGAAGACAAAACTGAGGCTCAAAGAGGTCAAGTAATTTTCCCAAAGCCTCACAGCTGTAAGTGGCAGCAATGGGGATCACAGCAAGGTCTGTGCAACTCCAGGTCAGATATTTCTCCTGCTTCATAAGTATTTTCACCAGCGTATGAGACCTCCCAGAAAGGAGGCAGACACAGATGAACTATTTTTTAATAAACTCTTCATATACTTCAATTATTATTCTTTCACTTTATTGTTTTAAATGTTTTTAAGTTTGTTTTGAGAGAGAGAACACACAAGTTGGGGAGGATCAGAGAAGGGGGGGAGAGAGAGAGAGAGACAGAGAGAGAATCCCAAGCAGGCTCCACACTGTCAGCATGGAGCCTGACGTAGGACTTGGACTCACGAACCATGAGATCGTGACCTGAGCGGAGGTTAGATGCTTAACTGACTGAGCCCCCCCAGGTATCCCTCGATTATTATTCTTTCACTGTAAAGGGTGTTAGGAAGAGCATATATATCAAACTCATGAGTTCATAAATACTAAAGACAATGTCAATATCCAAAAAAAAAGTCATTTTGTAGGTAATATTAAGTAAATCCCAATACAGGTCGTAAATTTAAAAACAAGCCAAGCTCTGACAGTGGCATGAAGCGTCTGCAGTTTGACAGTGTGGGAACTGTGGGCAGAGCAATGGGCCCCACCACACCAGCTACACCTTCTCTCTGGGACTACTCTATCAGCT